GCCTCGGCCTCCCAGAGTGCTAGGATTACAGGCATGAGCCACCGTGCCAGCCTTTACTATAGGTCTTATATTCATTCAACAGCATAACAATTATCCAAATGGTTAGAATTGGGGTATTTGTGGACCAGGCAGAAACAAAACAAGAAGTATACAAGAAAGTAGAAGTTCATCAGAGAAGGGAGTGAAATTTTATAAGAGGAAATAATTTTAAGGAAAGGAGTATGGGAGCCAGCAAACAAAGTGAACAGAAAGGAATGAAATGGATGTAAGTTAGAATGAGAAAGTTGGCACTGAAACAATTGAATAGTGTACACATGTAAGATATGCTAGGTGTACATGATAAAAAGTAGTTCATTTTTTTTAATTAGCTAGATTGTTGTAACCATATCACAATGTATATGTATATCAAAACATCACTTACATGTATAACATCATATACATGTATATCAAAACATCACTCTGTGACACTTAAATATATACAATTTTTGTCTCTCGTACAATTTTTAAAAAGTAGTTTAGATCTTTGAGAGACCTTCCTGAACAAAGTACATAAGGCGTAGGACCTGAGTTTTGAGACCTGACCTCACTGATCCATTTTAATGTTGGTCTGTTCCCTCTATGCCAACAACCCTCCCCTTTCCTTCTTTCTTCAGCTACTCTGTATAAATTACGTGCTATGAGACATACAGGATAATTTCTCATCTTCACCACATAAATGTGGGTAGATACAAATCAACAAGTTTGGTCTATTTTTTCAGATAAACTTTGCAAAGTTATCATCTTAAAACAGTATAAACCAAAACTATCTAATGTCCTTGCACTCCATTTATAATTGATATTGAAAAGTATATGCAAACAAAGTTGAAACAGTAATGAAACTTGAGAGCCACAAGCACCTCATCAATATGTTCTGAATAAAATAAAAGCCATTTTCTCCCTTTATATTATTCATTTTACAGTTTTAACATGTTGACTAATAATATACAAATTGTTCCAGGTTTTTCATTGTAGGTGATACAAAGTTTTTGAGAAGAATGTGGGCTGATAAGTAAATATCGTTAAAGACTAAAACAAAATTCTTTGAATACTTCCAATTGCTGATGTGATGCATTGGCCTTTCGCTAGCACACGCTAAATTGTACTAAGTGTGAATCAGTTCATACTAATTACTAAAAATAATAGGGGCTAATGGGAAAAGAGCTTTTAACTATCTGCTTGTCTTACCTTATTTAATCTCTAATTCAGGTTCAATGTGTGGATAGTTTAAGGATGTTTACTGTCAAGTCCAAACATCTAATGTGTTTTTGTAGCAGAATTTTGTGTTCCAAAAATTTCCTTTTGTGAAGTGACACATCAAAGCGTAAGAGTTTATAAGAAATAGTTCGTTATTTCAAATTGATCATCATACTGTAGATTTTCTTCTCATAATGATTTAAAAAGCATGTTAATTAGTGTTGCCCATGAATCATTTATGTGATTTTTAGTTAGACATGGAGAAACTTTTTAATTCACCGCATGTGCATTGTGTTTTATTCTTGAATTTTTAAAATTCAATCAGCACATCTTTTTGTGCTTATTTTATGAAACCAGAATGGTGCTGGTTGTTATGGAGGGAACAAAGGAGTTTAAGACATGATCCCAGCTTTCCATAAACATCCAGTTTTATGAACAAGAGAAAATAGGTTTACATAACTTGGAGTATAATCAAGTGTTATGCTGACAACCAGTGGTCAGAGCAGTTGAACTCATCAACTCATTGTGGGTTAGCCTTGAGGCAGGCTTCCTGGGGACAGTGAGCAGGGGATAAGGTCACTACTTCTTGAATAGGTGAGCTCCTTGCTGATAGGCTCTGCTACAGAAATTTGTGATCTTTGGGAGAATTTTTGACTGGGGATGCTTTTCTTATTAAATTTGAACATACTTGCTAAGAACTTCAACATCTAGGGACCTCTAACCTTGAAAGGGCAAAGGAATGTGTATTTTTACATTACTAAAGAATCATTAGGATTTATAACGTTTATCCCTGGAAGTTTAAATGATTTGTTTGCCCATGTATTTAAAATATTTTTGAAAACATTTTTTATTTATTTGCATTTAAAAATTTAGTTTACCATGCAGTAATGTTTGTGCTATGTTTTATGTAGTGTTAAGAACAACTCTTTTCATGGCAATCCTTTCAGAAAGATACATGGAAAGATGTTTACTTAGCTTAATCAAATATAAATAATATACCAAAAAATCTACTATTTTAACTTATTTGTACATATCTGGGAATTTCCAGAGATATAACCTTCTTAAAAAGAGAAAGTACTCTTTGCTTCTATCTTTTCATTAACATTAGGATGGTAAGTATATAAAGAGCTTTGCACATTCAGAAAAAGAAAAATAGTAAGAGTCCCGTTTTTTCATCTGTGAAATAGTCACTTCCTAACTCCTCTGACCCTGTTTGCAACTCTTTGTATTGCTTTACTGTCAGCTATTTCTCACTAAGTTTGTGCTGCCAGCTGGAGTTAAATGTCCTGAATATCACACCGTTTATCCTCTTTCTGTGCTCTGCTTTCCAACAGCAGTGGCGTCTATCATTTTATTTAATTTCCCAGTAAGCAACCAAGGGGTTGTTTCTGATAATCTGCAGTTCTCAACTTTTTGATCATACCCGACTCTAAAACCTATTTCATTTTTTGTTTACAGTCCTAAACCCATTCATCTCTGTTGTTCTAGTGGTCAATTTATTTGTTCCAATTCTTATTTACTTTAAGCCTGTAGCAAAGACAAATCTCTAAGTTCAATTCTGCCCCATATGTAAATTACTCAACCTTTCAAATATATTATTCATGAAATAAAACTTTATAGGATGAAAACCTGCACTGTCAATTCCCTATTCTGTTATTCGGCCCATCTTGACTACCAAGCATTTCTTCCTACCCAACCTGCCCATTCCAGCAGTGAGGTATCAAATATATGGAAATGCCTGGAAAACAGTTCACATTCGTAAACAATTGTATGTAGCATCTACACAGAATTTTATGGTTTAAGTATGTTACCTACAACTTCATTTGATATAGTAACTTTTGTAAATCTTACCATCCCCATTTCACAGTTGGAGAAAATGAAATTCAGAGAATAAGTAACATTTCAAGGTCTCACAGACTGAAAGGATTCTGAAGCTGTAAATATGTTCATAGGTTTTTTTTATTTTGAAACATATCTTCACCTTTGTCTCTTTTTAAAACTAAAAATAGATTTAAAAATTAACAATATTGTTAATATTAATTCCTGCATTTCAGATAATATTAAATTATGACAGATGAATATATCCTCCTAGTTATTTAAAAACATTAATTTGATTGCTTGATTTCACAGCTGAAATCCATCATACTGCTTTGGTTTCCTGATGCTGGTAACATAAGTCTAGAAAGAGTTCAGATCAGTTGCTAAGTTATTGCAAAGACTGTTTCTAAAATTTATCTGCTATATTTTCATATAGGCTAGATCAATATTAATATATCTAACTACTTTCTATCACTGTCACTTGGAAAAATGCTTATCAAATATACCCTAAATCATATTTTATGTGTTGCTTTTGGTATTGTATGTTAATCATAGATTACATTGCATATATTGTAATATTTGTATTATATTCTGTATTGCATTTGTATGATATTTTTGTGAATTGTAAAGACTCAGAACACCAGGTCTGAGTTTTTAAGGAATTGTTCAAGATTCTTGTAATACTAAAATTTTTCACTAAACATAATTTAAATAAGGCCCATATTTGTCAGATGAAGATATTTTAAAAATACATTTTTCTTATTACAAGTATGTATTTACCATAGAATATTGAAAAGACATTGAAATGCCAAAGGAAGAAATTAAAATTACCTGTAGTCCCTCCATTCAGTTAAAACCACTATTAAATTTTGACCTTATTGACCACTGTTTTCCTCAAGTAGTTCTTTGCACATAGTATGTCTTAATAAATATTAGAGAATGAATAAATGAATTAGTGAGTGAGTGATGGGTATACACCCAAATGAATTTGTTAAACAAAAATTAGATCCTGCTGTAGGTATTGCTTTGTAACTTGCCCTTTTTTTCACTTAAATATTCTTAGCAATTAGATATTCTCCTACAATATCATTTTAATAGCTGCATCATATCCAAGTGTATGAAAGAGATTATTTTAATATTTGTTAAATTAGCATAACATACCTTTTATTAATATTGCCCTACTTTGAACTACTGGATCCTTAAAAGTCCAAAATGCTTCACAGTTGAAGCCAATGCACCCTTCCAGCCCTATCTCCTCTTGCCCCTGGCTCCTGACCCCAACCCGGTTTCTGCCTGAGAAATTATTTACCATTTCCCAGTAGTGAAGACACCAAGCTCTTTCCTTAAATGGGCCCTATAACACACTCTTCTTTCTGCCACACGTGCTTGTCCTAAGTCTCCTTCCTAAAAACACATATGCAGCCTTCCAAATCCAAATCCAGATCCAAATCCAAATCCAAGATTTCCCCCCTGGATCCTTTAGCACAGTGACCTTCAGAAATTAGCGTAAATCACTTAGAACAAGTCATCTAGTAGAGATGGAGAGAATTGAAGTTTTACATCAATTCAGAAAGAAAAAAGGAGCATTTTTGGTTTGAGTAGGCAGTCAAAACTCGAGACAAGATTATTTCCCTGTTGTTTCTGTTAACAGGAAAAAGCAGTCTAAGGCAGCACATTCTTTTCTTCCCTTCAGGAAACAGTGGCTTTTAATTCTGCTCTTCTGAGGCCCCGTGTGATTGGAGAATGGATTGGTAGAGAAGAAAATGATGCTGATCCACTAGCCGCTGAGATGCTGCAGCCCCCAATTCCAAGAAGTAAAAATGACCAATGGGAAAATGAGGACAGTGGCTCTAGCCCTGCAGGAAGGTGAGATGAGCTGTCTGCTAAGAGTCTATGTTATCAGTCATTAAAGATAAAGGGAGGCTGGGCGCGGTGGCTCACGCCTGTAATCCTAGCACTCTGGGAGGCCCAGGCGGGCGGATTGTTTGAGCTCAGGAGTTCGAAACCACTCTGAGCAAGAGCGAGACCCTGTCTCTACTAAAAATAGAAAGAAATTAATCGGACAACTAAAAAATATATAGAAAAAATTAGCATATAGAAAAAATTAGCCGGGCATGGTGGTGCATGCCTGTAGTCCCAGCTACTCGGGAGGCTGAGGCAGGAGGATCACTTGAGCCCAGGAGTTTGAGGTTGCTGTGAGCTAGGCTGATGCCACGGCACTCACTGTAGTCCGGGGAAAAGAGTGAGACTCTGTCTCAAAAAAAATAAATAAATAAATAAATAAGGATAAAGGGAGAATAAACCCAAGTGCATGATTTTCGTGAAATCCCTTCTAATAATTTTAAATAGAATATTATGTTAGACTCCACATAGGATAAAAAAAATTTGCTGTGTTTTAAAATTAGAATGTTATTAGACTTGTTTTGGGGTTTTGATTTTGGGTTTTTTTTCTTCACATGTAGGAGATCACCATCTCTTTGCTACTAAAACTAAATAAAGAAATAATTTCAAGGACATACGCTATGAGCCAAGATCTGTCATAATATTGGGTTGAGAGTGTCTGGCTGTTAAGAATTGAAGAGGAGGGACTTTGCTCGTATCAGAAAGACACAGTTAATCATCAGAGACAATAAAACTATTAAATGTATAACAGACCACAGGAGGCAGAGTCAGTACAGACTATTTAGAGAGAGAAACCTCGGTTTAGAACCATTTAAATTTAGAGATGATAACTGTGATTGAATATAATTATTTACACTTTTTTGTTTATTTTTTGAAACTACTATGATTTGTGAATTTGAAAATCCGGATTCCTTTCATTTGACTCAGACCCCTGGTACTCGAAATAGTGACAAGAAAATTCGCCTTCAGTGCCCATATGCTGGTAGAAGTGGAGTGATGTTGAAAGGTCCAGAGCATATTTATTAGACAAACTATGTTCAGAATAATTTTTTTTTTCGTAATACCAACTGCAATGTGTAAAACTTAAAAATGAAAACTTCTGCAAGGCATCTGGGGTGCAAAGCATCCTGGGAGGCCTGGTTTAGAGGAGCTTGAGAAAATGGATTTAAATGCTCCTGAATTGAAATGTGTCAAGAGCTTATACTTTCTGAGAATGTTGCTGGCTGACCACCACGGAAGAGTTTTTTCTATGCATAGTGTTAGCTACGGTAACTTCGTATTTTCTATGTTAAACTTAACAGCAACCAATAGCTATTCTTTCTCAAGGAGAAAATTGTATTTTCTACAATGTAATAGCTTTCAGGGGTTCTTTGCTTTGACTTATCACTTGGCTGGAGGGAAGGAAATTCAGAATACGCGTTAATGTGCTTCAGGCATATAGAAAATTGATTCTATTTCCATGAGAAATAACTTTTAAATTATCTAAATAGTTGAAGTGTCTTGTATAAGGAAAAGAAAACCCCTTATAGAAATCCATTTACCTTCTTTTGTGAAATGCCAGATCAATTTCACCTGTCAAAGAGGGTGATTTTATTTTTAATACCAGACTTATGAAACCCACTAGACCTTTATCTTTATGCTTTGGTAGATCTTTAGCTCTTAAATGTAAAATGGAGAAATGTCAATTTTCATTTTGCTTTCAATTTAGTCATAATAATAATCAGAGCTATTTATAGCAAAGGTTAGTGCTTCTGTTTTCTTCCTGGCTTCAGTGAGCCCTGGATATTCAGTAAAGGGGAATGTGTTCTCCAATCCTAGTTGGCTCCCTTACCCAGAAAATTCAGTCCATGAGGATCTGTCTCAATATTGTTTGAAAAGTTGTTTTCAGCTTTATTTTTCTCTATCTTTAAATTGAGTTGAGGTATTACTCTATGACATGAAGAAAGTGGCGAAGTTCCGCCCAGATGCCCCATTAGAGCAGAAAGAATACATGCATTTCTGAATTAAGTTTAAAGAATAGCGCTCAACTGCATTAGAAACTGTATTTTTTCCATCTTCTAATACATTTTCTAATACAATACAGAATTTCTGAATTTATACCTGTAACTCACACAGCATTAGACATGGTTTGGATGAATACAAAAGGGTCGGAGAGAAATTTTTTAATGGCTCTAGAATGTGTAACTATAGTATTAGCTTTTGTCCTTAAATAGTAATGAATGTATACTATAACAGTCAAACATTAACAGACAAAATGATAGTCTACACTCTTGAAAGAGAAAACTTGATTTTCAAGCATGACTTCATCCATTCTTCAGCGTCCCCTCCCCAGTTGGGGCTGGCACATTGCTGTTGTTGGCTGACATCTGTTACATGAGTGAAGGCTGTCACTAGACACCTGCTAGATAAAGTTTGGTGACTCGAATTGTCTTATCTTTATTTTTTGTCCCTTTTCCTACTTCAGTTTTTTTTATTGTTTATTGCTTAAGTCTTACTCGAATGGCTATAACTACAATACTCCCTCTTTCATACATAGCCAACTCTCCCTTTCATGCAAAATAATAAATCCATGATAGGCTGGGATTTCAGCATTAAATTAGAGAGAATTAAATACATGGCATAATAAACCTTGAGACTCTTATAGGTAGAAACTTAGCCCAAATTTTTCCTGGAACATTTTTTTCAGTGATGTACATTACCTGAACATTTTTTAAGTCCCCCAAATACAACATTGTATGAAGAGGCACAATGACTTTGGTAGGCATACCTGACGCCTGAAGGGTTAAGTGCTGGTTAAAAGAAAGGGAGTCATGAGGGTGATACGGAGAAACTAACAGAAAAAGACGAGAGATACTAACATGCAGTCCATGACCCCTAGATGGTTTCTGGATGGGTCTCAAGAGATTTGTGAATCTCTTGAAATTATGTGTGAAATGTATGTATGTGCATATACGGTCATTTTCCTGCATTTTTCTGCCACATCTTTCTTAGATTCTCAGAGGAGTTCGGAATTAATAGAGAAATGAAAGTATCTGAGCAAGAAAAGGGAGAGGTGAATGTGCTGGGAAATGAATGATTTCTTTCTGTGATTGTCAGATACTCCCGTCGGTATCATTTGCTATCGTTGGCCTGGCTATGCACCGGGAAAGCATATTCATTCATTGCACATTTAGGGTTATTAAAAATAATCCCACAGTTATAATACAAATGTAAACAAAAATTGAGTGTAATAAACCTATATAATCCTATTTTAGGTCATCGTGATTAGATTTTGCAATAGCCGTGTAATGGATTTTCTAAAATTACTTGTTAAATTGTAATGTGAATTTGTACGTAGGCTCATCAAACCTTGAAAACCTAATGAAATTCCTCTAAAGCTGAACCGCTTTATTAAAACAAGAATAATTTCCGTAAGTATTATAGATCTGGTGAATTGGCTTTATTTGTTAAGTGAGCATTATTAGATTGTAAATATGCCATGAAATGAATAGAAAGTCATACAATTTAGAAATGCATATTAAATATTAAAATAAAAGCTAAATTTATTTCCCATTAAGAAGTTTTCTTTCCATTAAAGCTCTATAATTGCTTCTGATATATCAGTGAACAAAACCTGGAAATGTTCCCCATCCTCATAGAGTTTCTATCAGCAGCAAGAGACAAACAATGAACAAGTGAATATACAAATCTATGCCATTAATTAAAGTAGTGATGGGTGGCGTGATGGAACATAAATAAGGAAAAGAAGGAAGAAAATAGGTTTGGGGGGGCTACTCTTTTACATGAGAAGTACAAAAGCAAAGAAATAACCCTAATATTGTCAGATTTTGGCTACTGTGAATATGATAGAAAGTAAGTAATACATACGGCAGAGATAAAGTCAAATTAGTAATTTACAAATATTCTAATGTGCAAATTTTAAGCTTAAAGAATGTTGATTAATGAAAAGTTAATCTGCGAAAGGAATCAAAGCACAGAAGCCTTAAAAATATCTAAAACAAACAAAACTTGTACCTCATGACTCACAAATTTCTTTTTAAAGTCAAAATAGTACATAAATAAAGCACACATTTATTTCAGACAGAAGTCATTTTGACAAGTTCACAATTTCTGTTTTATTTATTTACGAATTTATTTAGGTAGGAAATACATATCCTAGTTCAAATAATTATTTTATGAAACATAGCACGAGTCATCCTTGGACTTCATGTCTATTACACAGGCAACATTTTGGACTTCGTCAGTATCCAGATCTTCGAGCTCTGTACCGTCTTGATGACCAAACCATGTATTTTATGAGACTAGAGAAAACACTTGCTTCAACTCTCAGGAAATGGTTATGGTCATTGTTGGCTGATGGTAGGAGTTACGCATTTATAATCTACCATTTGTTTCTCATCTTCCACTTCCATATCTATATTTTTTTCTTCTTCTATTTCACTACCAGTATTCCTGTTTCCTTGGATTTTTGTATCTCTCAAGGTGAAAGATGTGTACATCTACTTAAATTAACTCTTATTTTATTTATCCAGGTTGCCCCCTTGTGTTCTTTAAACGCATAATGATATTAATTACTATCTAGAGACTCCTCTATGTACTTTATATAGCCTAACCTATTTCATCCTCATGAAAACATTATTATTCCCTATTTCAGGAATAAGGAAACTAAGTCCCAGACTGGTTACATCCTGCCTTAAGATTGGATAGCTATTAAGTGGTTGAGCTACCGTCTTGCTCCAAATTCTGTGCCCTTAAATGCTTTGCTCTATAATCTCTCTTGTGAAAGGAGTTCTAAGAATCCTGTTATCATTAAGATTTAGGTTCAAGTCTGGAGAAGAGGGGGCCCAGGACCCTGGTGCTCTTACAAAGACCCCAATCCCCCTTGCCCGTCTCACCACTGTCTGCAGTAACACCTGCCTCCCTGCAGTAAGATCATACCTTCTCTTAATGGTGGTCTGATCCTT